GTGCCGTATTATACTAGGGATCCAAAAAGGGGCCATGATTTTGACATCCACCCATATAATGTTATAAATGCACATATCATATATTCGGACCTTGTACTTCTAAGTGATGATGTACAAACACATGTTTGCACAGCAGCAAAACTAGCGTTAATAGTGATCGGATAACAAATACCAACACCATTGACGGCAAAAGTTGACAGCTGCATGAGTTGTTGTATGGGTCATAGTAGTAGCCATCGTATTTTCTGATTTCTCCAGTCTCTTTCTGCAGCTTTGCATGCCACACACGTTTTGGTGAGGATCGGGGTATATCGGGGTATTGCACTGTGTAAGCCTACTAGAGCAAGAAAGCAACACCCAAATCCCACCAAGCGCCGGGGAGTTATGAAACACGCTACGGGCTTCCTCTCTGGTTCCCCGTAGTCGCAACTGGGAAGCCGCCTTGTTCTGCGCTTGTCCAGCTACGAAGCTCAGGAATAACAGAATCATGCAAAAACACGTTTTATGTACAGAGCCTATTTGTCGTGATGACTACTCGGCATTTCTGGCGCAATCCATGCAGATCCTCGAAGAACTTCGGTGGAGGGCACCCTACTGCTGTCTGCCAGTCAACAAGCCTTCCCACTTCACCTGTCCAATATTGAGTTCCCTGTGGTCTATGTAACTTCATTCCCCCGCGGTTCAGCACCCCAACTCGGAAACCTCAACACCATAACATGTTTTTAGCCTCCCTAGTAACCCATTAGTAATAAGGGTACTCTTTGTCCTAATGTGCAGCTTTAACACGGAGACCCCGAAATCAAAAGGGAAAGGTGCTACTGGGGTACCTAGTTTTGTCTTTTAAAAAACCCCTGCATGGCCGGCCTTCTCTTGAATCAAGTTCCACACAAGTGGGGGATGCCGCGCAGGCGGAGCGCGGAGCAGTGACAGCGACTGGGTTTGGGCGGTGTCCCCAGCCAAAGCAGCTGCGGAATGGAGCATGTCTTCACAAATTCTTCCAGTAATCGCAGGATTCAAATAAGCTCTACTCAGTAGTTTCCATTCTCTTTGCCATTCTCCCAAAATAGCCCCAATCTGTACCCCAATAGACTACGGTAGTCATTTTCTTTTCTAGTATCCCTATATATATATATATAACCCCCAATATTGGAAGAAAGTATCAGGACTTCGTGCTTCCCTTGGAGCATCCTAGAAGGCTGCTAGCATCCAGGAAAGGAAAACCTTACTGTTGGACAAGAACTGCTACAGCAACAAGCGCCCTCCCTATCAGCATATATGGGGGGCTCGGGAGACCTATTAAGCATACTTCTAACTCCTCTAAGCCATGTAGTAAAAGTGGTTACCCCTTTGCTACGTCCTCCTGACCCTCCAAGTACTCGAGCAAGATTGCTAACCCATTGCAGAGGTGAGGCGAAGCACTTGTGAGTTGCAATCTTCCGCAATATGTAGAGATGTGAGCAAGCACAGTAACCCTTTCCAAAAAATGAGTAGTTGCTTGCTGAGCATAATCAGCTATGCTTCTGCCATCTTCCTACCAGCTAGGGCCGAACTGCAGAACACGTGATAACATCCCGGTATAAGGGATTACAATACTACCCCCCCCCCNNTATAGTCCTTATTAGCTCCTTAAAACCCTGGGGGGTACCTTTGGGAGGGGTACTATTGTAATCCCTTACGATAACACGAGCCAGGCCGCGATTTAGCAGCGTCCACACCACCTTCATCATGGCCTCGTTTGCCTTGGTCGCGTGAACCTTCCCTCTAAAGCCTAAACCCTGCCTATAAAACCCAATTACAATAGTTTCCGTTTTCTTTTCCACTATCCCAATATCACCCTAATATACTGAACACAAAGGATTTATCTTCCCCAATGTTGGCACCAGATTTGCATGCCATAAGAACAACTCCTTCCCCCAGTGAATGACCCCTCCAAGAATAAATACCCCGAGCGGAAACCTAAAATCCTGGAAGAATACCTTCTAAATGGCATGGCTACTTTACAATTAAGAGCCTATTCGGGGTAACATGGGGAATTAGTAGGTCAAGATCTGAGAATTCAGTAGGTGCAACAAGATTCAAATAGGAGGTAATGTTTTTTGAGGCTACCATGCATGGGGTCGCGGGAGATAAGACCTCCCTCACGCTACACCATGCAAGGGTGATTCGAATGAGGAGAAATCTTCCAAGGGCCTAAACCCTCAAACAAATTCAAAACCCTTAACCCTAAAGTGTGTAGGACAACACTTCGCCGCACTTTGATCTGACACTTAGTTATCCACATGCGGACACTTTTGTACAGTTCACCCAACCTCTCCAAAAAAAATAGGATACACTCTAATCACCCTAAGACCCTTAAGCCCCCCAAAAAAACCAAGCCCATCTTCTGACAATCCCACTCCCCTAAGCTACCGAGGCGGCTCGTAAGGAATATAACTTCAATCATATAAGGGATCCTAGTACCATTTAAGGTATATTCCTTAACTAAGGGGGTATATAACCTCTATACTTCCCGATATAACCCCTATAAAGACCTACATAATCACATAATCTCTATAACCCCTATATAACCCCCATACCTTTAATTAAGGGGTATGGGACTCCCTGGGAACCAGCCCTCTGAACAGCACGGCTCAAGGGTCGTTCAACGCTCCGACGCCATCTCCCGACAGCTCCTCTGCGGCTCGATAAGCCGATCTTCCGTGCACGGTTCAAGGAAGCCAGGGTTAAGGGTTTAGGGGTTAGGGGTTAGGGTTTAGGTTTTAGGATTTAGGGGTTTAGGATTTAGGGTTCAGGGTCTGAACCTTAGAACTTGGGTTGGGCCCCACTAAGAGTGGTATACTAGGAATATATAGGGACTCTAATACAATTACCATTACCTCTTGTGGTCACTATTAGTGGGTGGGGGCCCAACCTAGTCTAGACCTTGGGTACTGCCCCCCCTCAGTAACAGTTGGATAATAACTATACTATGGTTCTATATAGCCCTTAATAGGACCCATAATATAGGGGGGCAGTACCCAACCTAGACCCCTTTAAAGGGCTTAGAGTTCAGGGCTTCTTGGGGCTCCGGGCCGAAGAATTTCGTGCGCCAGTGGCCCATATGCGATTTTCTAACATAATGGGACCCCAATGGGTTTAGGGTTTAGGGGCTTAGGGTTTAGGCGCAAAATAGAGTGATCTTTTTTTCAGGGACCTCAAAAAAACGGTACCCCCTAAGGCCCTAATTGGGGGAGCTCCTGTATTGTCTGATGATCGATGCTCTAGCTGAGCTATAGTCGAAACTCCTAGTATCCTTCTGAATAACCCCTATAATGCTCTCCTATTAAATACCTTAGAAAAACCCCCCAACCTGTAATAGTGGTATAATAGGAATATAAGAGGACCCTAATAGAATCCCTATTATCCCCTATAGTCACTATTACTGGGTGGGGGGTCCGCCTAGTAAATACCCCTTTAAGGAGTTTAGACTACAGCTCCTTTAGGCATCGTTTCTTAGAGCAGTCGTCTACACTTCGGACCCTCCTTTCTGAATCTTGTCATGTAGAGGGGAATTCTATGGAGATCTCTGAGGCTGTATGCTTTCACGCGGGTGGTAGCATGCGTAACCTCCTAAACTGCAAGCCGCATGGGCAGAACCCTGCGCCAAAGCTGACATCGCAAAAATAAATTTGCTGGTGAGTAGGAGGGAATAAGGGAAAATAATCCTTATAATCCGCATATAAAATATTCCCCTATTCCCTACTATCCCCTTTAAGTAAACTGCTTTAACGACTGAAGGCCGGCGTCTATGTGGCAGGTTATCGAAGATACGGTAGGTAATGTCTACAGGGTCCAGGGCCCAAAGTAGGTATTCTGTATAGACGAGCCCCAGGGATATGTTTCATTTGTACGTAACACCCCACTGAATACGAAGTCGCTTTTATGAAGGGGCCGCCGACCCACATACTTTTGACAAGCCACGGTGTGGGTAGTTCCGAAAATGGATCCCGCTTGTATGCTCTCCATGCTCTAAACCCTAAACTCTCCAATCTGGACCCCCCAAGTAACAGTACTTTCCTCAGCCTCCAAGCAAGGGGGATTAGGGGCAGGGCTTGGGTTTAGGGGCTTGGGCTTAGACAGGAGCATGTTGCTCTAAGTCAGCGTGATTTGGGGACCCTGGGATTCCCGTATCGACTCCCCGTCTCCAATCCAATGTCAATTTCCCTCTCTATTCAAAAGGACTCCTGAGCCCTGAGCTCAGAAGCCATAACTCTGAAAAGTTCCGCAACCTTGACAGGCCCCATTCATTCAGGTCATTCATAATCGTCTAGCAAATGCTGTACCAGTCATCGCGGCGCACTGTGCCCCCGGTCACTTATGGCAGTCCTGCCAACAGTCCCTTCATGACCCCTGCGTACTATCTAGCTAGGACCTTCTTTCCATCGCCTGCACTGTTTAAGCTATTAAAGCTCCAAATTACCCCAAGCCCTGTTCAACACACCAGCATTTCTCTGAAGTCTGACAGCATCACTGCATCAAAGCAGCAAAACCCAGTGAGCGCGCATGACAGCCCTTAAGCTCTCACCCCTGAACCTTGGCCCATGCCAAGCTGAAGCCCCCCCCCCCCTTTAAGGCACTGCCCCCTGCGCTCCACCGAGACCCGTCGCCGCGGCCCGCGCGTCCCAGAAAGGAGAGCCCCCAGCACCTTGCAGCAATGATCATGAACCCTACACCCCGAAACCCTCAGCCACGCTACAGCAGCATTGGAACTGTGCACGGCAAAGCCTGGTCGTAAAGTCATTGACCCGAGCACGCGCTATTTGTGATGCAGAAAGAGTCCCTCATGATCCCTCCCTGCCTGAACCCTGAAAGCCTAGCACTGCGGGCTTTTCCAGCGCGCCATGGCTGGATCTACTTTTTTCCTGCCACACGTTCCGTGCAAAACTGAAGCTTGTGTTGGATATGCCAGTTCTTATCAAGTAGGCCAAGGCCTTCTGCATGGTCCCAAACCTGCCAGTGAACTAATCCAGGTTCAGGATGTGGACCTCGTGGGAAGATTCCTTCTCTACGAACTCCACAAAATCGGAGGCTTTCATGTAAGCTGTGGCGTGACAAGCGTTTGGATGAAAGCCAACCGTAGGGCAGCCTCCTCCTTCACTGGCAGCCACCACCCGGGGATCCAGGTAGAACTGCACTTCTGAGCTTTCATCATTCAGCAAGCCGAACGGCGTCACACTACCTGGCAGAAGCTTCAACTTCTCCCGCAGCGCCTCTGTTGACGCAAAGCTTGCCTGCTTTGCAAACTTCAGCTCCTTCAACTTAATTTCCGTGTCGACCGCAGCGGAGACCAAGAAAAAGCTCTTCTTCTTGTCCTTCAGGAACAGGTTTTTCATCTCCTGCGCACAGCCTCCATTCATCTCCGGACGAGGGCAAAGCTGCGTCGCTTGCTCGCAGGTGTAGACGGGCGCGTGGAGGATGATCTCCAGCACAGGATTCGGTATATCTGCGCAGCCGCCGTACTTGTTAAGGAAAAAAGATAGGAGGCGTTCCACGCAGCATCCGAGGTGCAAGTTCAGAAACTCCCAACACTCGGGGGGAGTCTCCTGGTCTGGGTTGATGTCATCCGCATGGTCCATGGACAATCGAAGCCAAGGACAGGAATCGCTGGACAGTTCCAGCTTGGTCAGAGCAGACCGCACCACTTCAGAGGAGGGCGTCATCAGGAGCCGCAGGGAAAGAGTTGGCAAATGGGTCGCTAAGACCTGGGGTTTACTACAGCCGGGTGTGAAGGAGACTTACTCTAGAGGTGCTTCGGTGATCCGTTCTCCAGTGGACTTTCTGCAGCTTTTGAAGAATGCGATTCCGGCACTGTTTGTTCAACACGGCTCTGGATGCCACTGTCAGCTGCATATGTCATTGGCGCAACTGTTTTAAACTCTCATCATGCACATTTTTGATGGTGACTGCTTGTTGACCACTTCTGCAGTCACAGGAAGCAGTGGACCCCGCATATGCTGGACATCCACCAGTGCCGTAAGCTTGAGCCCACAAGCAAAATGCTCTGGACATCTGTATGTAGTGTGATAGAGAAATTAGATAGGGATATCTGTGGAAGCAAGCCTCTGATCCATCAACGCTTTGACGCCCAGAAGAGCACTCACCCATGCTGGAACTCATCATCATAGTAGTTCTTGCAAAGGAGTTGGCGGAAATACGGGGTCGAGGGAAAGAGTTGAAGTGCAAGGGAAGTGAAGCCGTTCCTTTCCTTACAGGGGTCACTTGTTGAACTTTGTTCCTGCTCAATCGTCCTTATACACTTCAACTACCCTAGGCTGACTACTGGCACAGAGACTCCCTCCTGCAAGCCCAACAATACAGCCTTTCAAGGACCACATAGTCCACATGTGCCGCTGAGACTAAAGTCCGCTGAAGCCCCTAAAAGCCTAACCCCCTTCTCAGCTCAAAGCAACATGTTGTTGTTTGCCGTTTGGGGGTGTCCAAAACTGGTATCATGGGGCTACTACGGGCCGCACAAAAAATGGGCCCCACGCGCTGATCCTGTATCAGCAGAGGTTCTCAAGGATTGCAAGGGCTTATTGAGACTTGTTGGGACCCCTAAATCAAAATCCTACACCTGATGCTTCTGTTTGTCTTCAGGCACCGGTGGTGTGGCTAGGCGAATCTGGAGCCGTGGCAAAGGCCCCAGGAAGGGCTCGTCACCTGGAGCTATAGGGTTTAGGCCTTAGGGTTTAGGGCTTAGTGTCTAGGGTTCAGGGATTTAGGAACCGCTTTGGGATTCCCTTGACAAGATTAGGGGTTTAGAGTTTAAGTTTAAGGCTTGGGGGCTAAACCGTACCGCGCGAAGGTTCCTTTGCAAAAGGGGTTATAAAGGGCGATGCCGGGATGCTATGATCTATACATATATATATACATATGTAGGGAACACCCCTGTAATGGAGACTCCAATTTTGAAAGAGAGGATTTTGGCAAACCCGGGACACTAATGCTCTCATATTACAGCTAGGAAAAGGCCGTAAATTTGGGGGCTGGGGTGACCAAACTTCTTGTATTAACCTTGCACCTGCCAAAGAGCCCAAAGAAGCCAGGCTCTAACCCATAAATGAGAAGGCAACAATGCTTCAGGCTTCCGCACGCAGGGTCTATTTCAGGAGTGTTGGGTTCAAGGCTTGTGAAGCCATCACTGATCCCATTAAGCATGAAGCCCAATGCTTGACATGGGGTCGCCTTGCTACAAGACCTGCATCAGGCCTTAGGGAGCCTTGAACCCTAAACCCTAAACCCTGCACCGCATCACAGTCGCAGCTGCTGCTCGTGGATTGGGCCTGGCCGTCCTCCTTGACATGACGGAGCTGCGCGGCCATGAACTTTGCAACAAAACAGTCGAGATTTCTATGCGTCATTGCACGAAGCACGGTTAATGATCCCGTCACTGAAGCAGGTTGCTCTTGGATTATAAAAAAGACATAAAAAAGACGCCCAGAACCAGCGTGATGAGACTGGATTATCTTCTAATTCTCCCGAATGCCACCTTTCTTTAGATCGCAATGAGGGCTCTCTCTCCCGGACCCCGTCCCCTAAAACCTAAACCCTTCCCAAAGAAGACTTTGACGTGGCGTCCTCGAGATCTGATCTCATGCCAGTGTTTCGGGCTCCACGCACGGACAAAACCTGATAGCAGGGGTCGCCTTACGCATGTTCAAGGTTTAGGGTCTTAGTGTTTGGGGTCAATGCTATAGCAAAGAACCCTCCATAGGTTGTGCAGCGGCATAGACTTTGGAATCAGGTAGAGGCCTAAATAGTTGCCGGTACTGCGATTCTAGATCCCTAGTATCAGTACAGTATATGGCACCTCAAATAGAACTGAAAATCATGGCAATCATTTAGGCCCCTGTATTACTCCGGTCCATGTAGGTATATGGTATATATCTAGGGCCCCAAGGGGGGTCCCATATACCCACTTTAAGGCCCAAGTAGATACCATACAGCTACATGGACCCTTTGGGATTCCTAGCGCTGGGGAGTTCTGACCATCGAGCCTATGCCCTGATCCAAAGGTGTCGGGCTGGAGGTGCAGGGAAGCTCAATGCTGATCTCGAGGGAAAGGCTGACGTAGTGTTGGTAATAGGTTTAGGGTTTAGGATTTAGGGTTTAAGGGTTCAGGGTTTGGGGTTTAGAGGAATCAGGGAATACATCCCTACTTAATCCATGTCTCACATTTTCGCTTATTCCCTACTAACCCGCTGTAACTGCATGTGCTCGTCAGCGCAAGAAGCAAAGAAGAAAATCGAAAAAGAGACTTGGGGTTTCCCAAAATTATGGCTACCTTCTTCGGGTACCCATAACAGGGACTATAATATCTTATGGTCCATATTGGGTCCCCCTCTTTTGGGAAACTACCACTTGCAATGGCACGCGGCAAAGTCCTGAATCTGGAGGTCTCCTCAGTCCACCACTGTGGGAAACCATATGAGCTGTAGTCTAACCTCCTGAAAGGGCGTTATATAGGGGATTTGTTGGGGAGTATTATAGGGGCTATAATCGGGGGGTATTAGGAGTTTGGACTACAGCTCATGTGTTTGCGTAGGGAAGTCCCGTGGTAGTGAACAAGACAAGCTTAGCTGCCGAGTTTAGGTTGTCTAATGGAGCCAGGGCATGGTGGAGCAGGATAACAGTGGGTCGGGCCCTGAAGCTTACTTGATCTCATGAACGCAATCTCAGAAACTGTTTTTTTGCCAAAGTGTTGATGTGCAAATGAGCCTCCACCACCACCACCTCCTGCTCCTTCTACTGACTGCTACACATCATGACTACTCTTGCGGGACATGCTTTTGCTGCCCTGCTGCGCTGCACGCGCGCGCCGAACGGGTCCTCTCCCTCCGCAGAGACCACGTCACCTCAGCTCAGGCTCAAGGTGGAATCCTCAGTAGGATCTCTCAGGTTCAGGGTTTAGGGAGCATATCTCTCCTTTCAAGCTCTCGCAACATACAACGCTGCATCGAGAACTCTCAGAAGCAGAAGTTCCGCTGTAATTAACCATCTTCAGGAATCCGGGAACCTGTCGAGCTAAGGTTAAGGCTATGAATACGGCAAATCGTGCAGCTTCTAGTTTTGCATTAGGAGAAGCCCAAACGCAAGCCTAGCCTCTGAAGCATTTGCTATATCCAGCATCTTCTAGCCCTCCGACTGTGAAATAACCGCTCCCTCCACATCAACTTGAAAAAGCCAGGTTTTCTATGTTTTCTGCGCCGCATGAGCTATAGTCTAAGCTCCTAGTATCCCCTTAACAATCCCTAAAATACTCCCCTATATAATCACTTATATAGCCCCAAATCGGTAGGCATAGTTCAGTAGCCCCTAAAGCCTAAACCCTACTTGCTCAGCCGTGAGGCAGCTAACTGGTAGCTCAGTCTCTGGAACGGCTGTAGGTACGTGGAAGCAGCCCACCCTGTTGAGCTTGATCAAATCTTATAATCCTAAGAATGATGTAACAAGGGTTTATGGTTTAGGGTTTTTCTTTATGTATGTATGCATGTATGTAGAGCTAACAATGGGGAATTTCTTTGGGGGCATTCCATTCTCAGCAGGAGGAACTAGTAGGAGTTTAGGATTTAGCGTGTAGGGTTTGGGGGTTAAGCAGCTAAACAACTGCCTCTTTCATTAGGGTCTCGAGTTTTCACTGTGAGTGTTGCTGCGGTTTTTGGTGACTCTTTTTGGGGTTCCACTTGCCCTAAACCAAAAACCCGAAACCCAATCTCTACACCCTAAACTCAAAACTCCAAAACCTAAACCCCAAACCCTGCACCCCAACCCTGAAACATTTGCTATATCCATCACCTTCTAGCCCTCAGACTGCGAAATAAACGCTTCCTGAACCTCAACTTGAAAAAGGCAGAAATTCTGCCCCACATGAACTATAATCTTAACTCCTAGCATCCCCCTTAACAACCCCTAAATACTCCCCTATATAATCCCCTGTCTAGCTGCCCGTTTAAGGAGTTTAGACTATAGCTTATATCACGAATCTTTCTCCACTGTCAAAACAAATTCTCTTGCCTAGACCCTCCTCCTACCCTCTATTAGGGCCTAAGTACCCACTATTAGGGACCATATACCCCCAATTGAGGGTACAAGGAGGGTCCTGGTGCAGACTCTGGCCTAATCCGGGCATGAAATCGCTCCAGCTCTTCGGGCGACGGATCGTCACCTGTGGGGCATGAAGCCCCAAGCCCTCAACCCACTTTTAGGGTGTAGGGTTTGGTTTGGGGTTTAGGCCTTGGGGATTAGGGTTTAGGGCTTGGGGTTTAAAACTTAGGGCCTAAAGGGATTCCCCTATACCTACTTCAAGGCCCAAGTACAGACCACATAGCTACATGGACCCTTTGGGTCGCTGTATATGGTTTAGGCACGCGCATCGCGCCAACAGGCACGGTTGTTTAGCGTTTAGGGTTGCAAAAGGTGCGTTTTTGGTTTAGGGTACAGCTCACGCTCAGTGTGAGGTTGGGACCAGGATTTTGTTTAGAAAGCGTTCGTGTAATCTTACTGGTGCTGAGGGGGTAAGGGGGTGGAACCCTGTGACACATAATCAGGTAATCTGGGTTGCTGTTAAAGAACTTAA